TTATCCATTTCTCTCAGATTTTGAGCTTGTGTAAATTTCACATTTCTTACCCAGATTCTTTCCCATGTATCCAACATTATTATTTTATTAAACATTTGTACCTTTAAAAACAGAAAGAAAAACACAACAAGGAAAAAAAATGAAACATACGTAATATAAAGTAATTATACAGCCTTTTGAATCAGCATTCAAACAATTCTCAATTGCACAGAAATGGATAAATTCACCTTGGAGTTAAGGGACAAGGAAGACTCAGAGTATTATACAGTTTGGGGAATAGGTACCGTGAGGGAGGCATGCTTGACACCTAGCTAGTGCTATTTCTGTCTGCCTGAAACTGTTTTGTTGCTTTGACTTCTTTATGAATTAGTTGGTGTCCCTTGTCCAGGTTACCAGCACATCCGTATGTATGACCTGAACTCCAATAACCCCAACCCGGTGATCAACTACGATGGGGTGAGCAAGAACATCACCTCGGTTGGCTTCCATGAAGATGGACGGTGGATGTACACGGGGGGCGAAGACTGCATGGCTCGCATCTGGGACCTCCGGTGGGATTTTTAGGGTTGACCTCATACCTTACAGGGCAAGCCCAAGACAGGCCCCAAATAGGTAGACATAGAAAGGGGGCAACCGAGGAGGAATCAGATGTTCATTTTGCCCATGCAATGGGCACCTTTGCACATTGAACAAAGTGGGGAAAGGAGCTGACCAAATGTTGTTTTAGAACAGGAGTCTCCAACCTTGGCAACTTTAAGCCTGGAGGACTTCAACTTCAAGCTTGAAGTTGCCAAGGTTGGAGACCCCTGATTTAGAAAATCAAATGCCTCAGATTTCATGGCATCTTACATGTGTGTGTGGAGAGAGATCTTGTAAGATTTTGCTCCCTTGTTAAAGGTGGATCATTCTTACAATTTACAGAGGACAATTGCAGCCCACCAAGGGCACTGTGGACATCACAAGGTGCTGAGTGCCTGCATAGATATAGTTTCAGCTTGAGTTGGGGGTGCCCACCAGGCCGGCCTGTGCATCCCATCGTTAGCAAGAGAGTCTGAAGGGGAAGCTGGGCAGCTTTGAAACCGGTGGAGTGAGAAGCTGCTCCAAAACTCTGAGTTTCTTAGCGTGATATTAAAGAGTCAACACCAAAATGATTGTTCCTCGTGGGTGCTGAATCTGAGTTTGTGGTTTTTTCTCCTGTGAGCAGAATCTGTATCGGAGGCACCTCAGTATGAGTTTTGGTGAAGTTTCATCTTTTCTCCAAAGTGCCTTCCTGAGGTTTGCTGCTTTATGGTTTTGCCTTACATAGAAAGGGAAAGTGAAGGGATGAAGAGGGAAGGAAGCCAGTGAGTAAGCCCTGCTCCTTGTAGGACTGAAAAATACGCCTTGGGAATTCTGAGGGCCTGAATGCTTCGAGGTTTTCCCAGAGAGGGCAGATACCCTGCTGAAGCACAAGCAACTAAAGTAAGGGTGAATTCTGTGAGTTGAAGTCTACAAGTCTTAAAATAGCCAAGGTTGGACACCCTTCTTAAAGATGCCTGTACTTTTTCTGACAAAAACATTTGCCATCCAGCATCTGCAGCTGAAAACGTCTCTCCTGACCTGATGCCCAACCAGGGGTGAAATCCAGCAGGTTTTGACAGGTTCTAGAGAACCGATAAGGAATATTTTGACTAGTTCAGAGAACCAGTAGTGGAAATTTTGAGTAGTTTGGAGAACTGGCAAATGCCACCTTTGGCTGGCTCCAGAATGGGGCGGGAATAGAGATTTTGCAGTATCCTTCCCCTGCCATGCCCGCAGAACCAGTAGTAAAAAAAATTGAATTTCACCACTTCTCGCAACCTGTTGTGGAAGAGAAGGCCCAGTGATTAACCTTTAAGAAACCCGGCCATTTAAGGAAAGCAGGGATGGCTATGCCAGAGCAGTCTTCAACAGCATCATGGCCATCGCTGTTAGACTCTTTGGAAGGTCCCTGGAGTGTAAGAAGTCCCAGCAGTCCCTTAGCTCAGTGTTTTTCAACCACTGTGCCGTGGCACACTAGTGTGCCGTGACATAGTGTAAGGGGTGCCGTGGGGGGATTTCTTTATATATAGTCAATATAGGCACAGAGTTAATTTTTTTTAACATTTTCTAATGGTGGTGTGCCTCGTGATTTTTTTCATGAAAAAA